AGGAAGGTTCAATGGAAGTGAAGGAAACCTCAATGAGATGGGCTGTTAACAAAGCCCTCCACCATATTAAAGAACACAGGAGATGCCAAGAATCAGGCAGTGTTCTGTTGCCATAAGTCAGAAATGACTCAACTGCAACTAACACAAAGAGAACAGGGTACCAGTACAGCAAAATTCAATGGCATCCAAGATGATTTACAAAAATAGGTTTTAGACAGGGACATGACTATTATTTTGCAAAGTCAGAGAGAAAGCCAGCTTCATAACCACATATAAAAACTACTGGTTATTTAATAGCACACACAAAAAAGTATTGAGTGTCTGAAAGAAAAAGAAAAAACAAACTACTGTTAGGACTGGACAAACACTCTGGATCTGAGCCCAATCTTTACAAGCTTGTCATCTCCATTTTACTAGAGTTGCGCTGTAGAATTCTAATCAAGTCCATTTGACTCTCAAATCCATGCTCCTTCTTGTAACTTCCTGGGCACGGCTCATCGCCTGTTGAGAGAATTCATCACTGAACTCGCATTCATATTAATATTATGATATCAAAAGTCAAGCACTTCACAAAAAGAGGAGTTAGTGACTTGGAACTGGCCATCTAGATTGAGGATTTTACCATGAAAAGTTCTTAAAACATAATCATTAGAAATGTGTTGTCTCAAAGATAAACCCTGACATGTCCAAACTGTACAATAAATGTTAATAAGATTTTTTTTTCTCAGAAAAGTTCTTTTTAGTCAGAGTAGGAAGCCCTTCCCTGTTTCTATTTTTTTTTCCTTCTTCAAATTAAGTATATATCTCAGTGTACTTTGACAAGTTCTCATCTGAGAATTCAATACCAATGATAAAAACAAAGCAAAAAGTAGTGGAGACATGCCAGTCAGGATGAAATGTCTTCACAAATGAGCTAACAAATCCTTAGAGACCAATGAGATGCACACCTTTCAGGTGGCGACGATGTCTGAGAGTCAAGCTGATGCCACTGAAGGCTCAGGCAGCTAGGAAGTGCCTGTCACTGTGAAGGTCACAAAAGAGAAATATGAAAACAGGACACCAAACCATTTTCCCCTTCCCAGTGGGTGTTTATTTTACAGCTTTTTGCATCAGGTAATCAACTGAAACACTTCAACAACAGAAAGCTGGCAAAATGTTAAGGAAAAGGCGTGATTAGCTTTCTAACAGATGTGACAAAATGGTTTTAAGTTGGAAACAGTTCTGCATAAACGAAATAGGGGGGGGGGAGCAAGAGCAGAAAAAACTGAACCACCAAATAGAGAGAAAGGAGTGAGCATGTTCCAGCTTGGATTGTGAAGAAAAAAAGGCACTATTTAGCTGTCAGTGTTTTTTAAAGTAAAAATACACAATCCATGCATATAAAAATTACATTCAACAATGTTTTAGAGATGCTCACGTAACTGATGCTGATAAATAGAGAAACCATAAAAGCTGCCTAAAAATTAGATAGATGGCACCAATTGTCTCTATCAGGAGGATTTACCAGCAATGCTTTCAAAAGGGAGCTTTAGCGTCAAGAATCCATTTTAGAAGTAGAACTGAAAAGCTCACCAAGCTGCATGAACTTAAATTATAGGATAAATATAACGGATCACCCATTTCGATCTCTAAAATCCCCACTCTAGAAAGCGAGCTCCACTCCAGAGGAGCTGAATTGGCAGTGTATTTCAAACAGTGCTGCTTCCCCCTCAGAAAGCTGCCTGAGCAGTAGTTTAGCTGGCATCACACATCAACTTTGCACAGGGCGGATGGATGCGAAACCCAACGGCAGCTGAAGTAGCACTAATTTATGAAGAAGAGAACTTTCAAATCAAAGCGGAAGCAAGCACCTGGGCTCCTTAAAGGTGACCTTCAAAACCAAGCCACTGCTTCTCATAATACAGGGTTTCAAGGACCTGTGGGTGTGTTTGAGAATGGCCCAAGGGAAAATCCGGCTAGATGACTGACACAGATGTTCTCTTTAGAAAATCTGAATAAATGGAAATAAAAGCTATGCATTTGGAAACCAGTCTTCACTTGGATTTTTCTAGAACTTTCAGAATTTTTATTTTATTTAAAAAAGAAAACTAATTTCTACAAACTATTTCCTAACTATGCAAATACAATGAGCAAATCATCTGCAATATCAAAATACTGTTTGCAAATCACTGATGGCACTAACAAATTTTAATAATTTCCAGTGGAACACCTTTAGAAAAAAAAGCAACAGATTTCAAATTATAGACATTAATTGAATTTTAAGAATAGAAATTAAAATTGAAAAGTTTGCAAAGTCTGTTCCATTGAATTCTCTGCTTTCCAGTTAAATCCAATCATCAGGAGTTTAAGAGCACCCCATACATTCAGTGTTGCACAAATGGATATGGATGATAGAAAAGTAATCCCCATGCAATATTTTAAGTGTTGCTATCAGATATATTTAAGTGATACTTTACAAGATTAAAGCTGGGTAAAATAAAAATATAGTATCCTCCTCATTACATTTTAAAACAGTCACAATAATTTATCAACAGTTGCCATTTCACAGCAATTAGAAAAGTTGATACAAGTTAACTAAAAAAAGGACTCTTTCAGGAAGTAAACATATATAGATATATACACAGACACACATACACTAACATCTTTTAAAATTCAAAGTGATTAATTTACTTTTGTATTATAAAAAAAATATCTCCCTATGATCAAAATACTGAAAAAGCGCAAAGGTTGAAAAAAGAAAACCACATTTGCCACTTTTAAAAAAATACATTATTGTCTCAATGGTTCTATTTCTTTGATTATAAAGTTAGGTACTTGAAGGACTCTGTACTTTTCAGATTCCCAGGACCATACTGGATATGATGGAATGAAGTCTACCCTTTCTCAGGTCCAGGATAGTCACTGCCCACCATAAAAGGTGACAGAATAAATGTTCCTATACTGCACTCCTAAACTGGGAAAGAAAACATGTCCACTTGGAAGTAATCGAAATCATAAAAGTTTATGAATCTGTATGAGAGACTGCATAAATCAGAAAGCGATTCTTTGGATACGTTAGGAGCTTTTCAAAGTGTATAAACTCAGGGTAGGCCTCTAGAGTACAGATTCAAAACCGATTTTCCTGTAACTAAGGATTTGTCTGGTGCAGGGGTTCTATTTCCCATGCCACCTGTTTCTGCAGGTAAAGGTATACTGGGATACACCAATGCCCATTTACACCACAGTGGCAACGCTGAATAGCTGACAGACAGACTACATAGTCTTCAAAACCTAAAACACTTAATTTGGCCCTTTACAGCAAACATTTACTGATCTCTGGTCTAGTGCACTAAGTGCTACCTTAGTGGTCTAAAAGGTGTACTTTTAGAAGATTTTCATTTGTACTAAAAAAAAAAATCACCTGCATACAAAGGTTCATTAACAGGTAAGTAAAGTATCAAACATTCCCATCTTGAAATGGTACTTTTGGGAAAGAGAATCTGTATGTGTTTTCAACAAATATCTGCAACAGTTAAAGCATATACTGAGAGAAAAGGCATTGTAGGGGAAGTGAGAAGATGAGGAAGGAAGAGGGGAGAGAAAGAAGAGGGAGGGAGGGAAGGTATGAGCAGAGAGAGAAGAAAAGTAGCATGTTTGGCTATGTTCTTTTAGTATTTTCATATTATTGGAGGGAAAGGGTGCTATAATGAATTTATTTTATTTTATTTTCCCCCTAATAAACATTAGTTTCTCTTCAAACTTTAGACTTCTGCTGGTAAGAAGTGGTGTTTTCCTCTCCCCATCTCCACAGTTGAAAACATTTTAAGATGACTTGCCTAAAATGTGTATGCAGCTTGGTGAGGTCTTGAAGGATAATTATTAGACTATGTATATTAAAGAATATTGTTTTAAAGATTAAACTGTTGCTAAAACTCTATTTCTGTCACTCTAAGAAGAGGAGGGAAAGTAAATTCATGAACAGGGAAATTTAACTCTGCAAAAGAAGCTTTAGAAACCATAGGTATAAAATAGCTACCATTTCTGAACGGTAATGTAAAATAAAAACAGAAAAATTCTTCAAGTGGAGAGCAAAGGTTCCCCTGCTCTGAGCCAACTAACAAAGTGAATGTAAAAGGGGGAACTTTCCGAACTCAAGCAGCTGCTCTTGTTGCTTTAAGAGTTCACAAGTGTTTTGTACTCAATTAGGTGCTAAAAACACAGAAGAGAAAACACTGACCAGATATTTATTAAGCATAAATTTATACCAAGAACTTTTTTGTCACTCGATCTTTTCATGTGCTAAAAAATAAGAAGGATATGAAACTCTATGTTAGGGATGTTTCTAGTCTATAATACCTTACATTTATATAGCGCTTTACAGTTTTCAAAGTGCTTTCACATGCCATCTCATTTAATCCTCACAACAGCCCTGTGAGGTAGGTACAGCAGGTATTATTATTCTCATTTCAAGTGAGGAAACTGAGGCAAGAAGAGGTTAAGTGACTTGCCCAAGGTCACACAGCTGATAAGTGGTAGAGTCAGAACCAGAAATCAAGCTTTCCAACTCCTTGTCCAGTACTCCTTCCTCTGTATCTACTGCCTCCAATTATGAGTAATATATTGTGTATCAAAATTGAAAGGTTACCGAAGTTTATTACAGTGATGTAGAACAGTAGAGTTAAATGGGAAATACAAGAACAATAGGTCTGATGGTTTTACTTGACATAATAAAACTGGTGCAAAACCACTTTTGTCTAATTACTTATCACCTTTTGGTCCAAATACATAAAATATGCAATATATACAGCATTTTCTTTTTTTTTTTTTTGTAAATGCAATGCTTTAAAACACATTAAAAAGCACCTTAGTAAAAATAGTCTACGGGTAAAAGTACAGAAGACGTAGGAAAACCAGACCCATACGCGGCTCATGAATGGAGTCGTGATATGGAGTCACCAATATTTCAGTTTACGGCTATTACAAATAAGCCATGGTGAAACAAATACTAAAATCACTTTTTTATATCAATGTCTGGAAGTTTTAACTAAAATCAGGCAATGCCAACATTCTTTGAAGGGTCTTCCCTATCTTAGATATTGGGAAGATAGGAATGAGAAATACTGCTTTGACTCTCTTTTTACAGTATTAGTAGTAATGTTTAAATTGGTTTTTAATACTAATGACCACTTAAAAGATTAAAACAATCTACATAAATATGGACAAACCCAACTACAGCAGGAACATTTCTTAGAAAACAGGACTGAACATTCCAATAAATTTCATGGGACATGATTCACAGAAACAAACCACGCAAAGCCACCAGTCGTTAACACTACTCGGTAGAGGCGTTTGATCCAGACCTCCCGATGCAGGTGGAAGTAGCAAATGAAGTCATCTTCATTTATTAATTGAAAAAATGCTTATAAAAACATAGTCTCAGAAACATTTCTGAAACTGTATTTAGCCTTTTGATTAGACTTGCTATATATGTTTATTTTTCAGGTGAAGTGCAGGGGTTTTTTAATCCCCCCCCGCCCAGTTGGGAGGTTAAAACACCCATCAAAATTTAACAAGAAAAGAAAACCAAAAACAAAACAAATCCTGAAACTGAAGCTTCTTAAAACACTGACATATTAGCCAGTATCCATTTCCTTGACAAAACTGTCTGGTTTCTAACCCGGGTCAATACAAATTTTCTTACACACCTAAAAGCAATCCCGGCTGTGGAGCTTACACAGGGTCAAAGGTTTTGTTCAAGAATCGATTTGCCACACTTTGTATTCAGTTCGATTTAGGGTAAATCTTTTCATAGAAAAAATTTTGTGCAAGGATGTAGAGGTCTCCATCTTTTTCTCGAACGGCATGGGCTCTGATAAACTGAAACTGCTCTAGTGCAAATTCATAGAACTCGTTCTCCATTTTCCAAATGTCAGACTGTTGCAGTTTTGCAATCGTTTGTTTAGTGGGTAGTTTCTTCTCTGTTGTTTTTCTAAGATGAGATTTCTTTCCTACTTAGAAAGGAATTAAAAAAAAACAACACAGAAAAGGTAATTAATTCATAGAGAACACACAAAAGCTAAATAACCTCTTTACTTGACAATATGGTTTAAGTTATTATGATACATTGAACAAAACAGATAACTTGTCTTGCTGTAATAGAATGCAATCCTGGCAGAAATGGAGCTCCAACAACTTAATTCATTCTTTTATAATGGAAATCCTAACCGGTGAAAGACTCACTAAGATGTCAAATAATAAAGGGTAGGATCATGAGCCAGTAAACTGTGGGCTGTCATATCACACACTGTATTCTCAAATGCTTGGTGCCTTAACAAGAACTCATTCTTTAAAAATAGAGAGTATCTCCGGCCAGGTTTAGGGATGTCTGGTAGCCTAGTGGGTAAGGAGTCACACTGCCAAGCCAGAGGCAAACAGTTCCTTTTGGGAAATCTTCTGTTGAGAGGAAGAGAAGCCATCTGCTCATATGTGATCTATAGCCTCTGAAAACCCAATGAAGGGTCTGCTATGAGTTGGTTTCAACTGGAAAGCAGGTAATAACTGTCAAGTTTGATACTAGTATCTTACAATCTATATTCTCTATAAGCTTATGTTGGGAGCTAGGGCATTAAAAAATTCCCAGTATTGGCTCTCATCAAAGAAGAATTAGACTGAACTAGCACAGTCACTTGGAGATATGCAGTACTGCTGAGGCTGCTGGACAACACTTCTAAAAGGGGAGGTACTTTTTAGTTCTGTTTTCTTCTGATGGATCTTGAAGCTCAGTCTCATATACTCTGGGCACGTGGCCAGGAGGGACCAGTTCCTGGAGAAGGACATCATGCTTCTTTCCCCTTCCATGAAAGGGGAGAAAAACAGTGCAAGAGAGGAAGACCAAGGATGAGACAGATTAACTCAGTGACTGGAAAAGGGGGATTAGGTGTGTTGGAGATGACGAGACTGGCTCAGGACAGGGCATGGTTCAGAGCTAGTGTACACAGGGTCACTGAGTCACAGGTGACTAGATGGCACATTATAAAAACATATAATAGAGTAGTGTAGTTCATGGAGACTTGTGCTGCTAATGCAAAAGCCAATGTCTTGTGTTATTCTAATTCACCAACCACTCTATGGGGAAAAATGCATAGTTTCACTCCCCCATTTTCAATTTACTGACTCAGAAACCTAATGACATGTTACAGCGAGTCTGAACCAATTTGACAGTAGGTTCCGGGTTTTTTGTTGTTTTTTTTTTCTTTCCCTCTCCCATAATATACAGAGCAAAGACATCACTTTGAGGATTAAAGTGTGTATGGTCTAAGCTATGGTATATTCAATTACCTCACATGCATGTAAAAGTTGCCCAATAAATAAGAAAAGTTGATGTCATTGAATTACAATATGTTGTTGTTGTTATGTGCCGTCAAGTCGCTTGCGACTCATAGCGACCCTTTGTACAACAGCCCTAAACTCTGCTCTGTCCTGTGCCGATCGCACTGTCTCTTATACACCCATCCCAATTATCCCAGTCACTGAATCAATCCACCTCATAGAGGGCCTTCCTCTCCTGTGCTGTCCCTCCACTCTACCAAGTATTATGTCCCTCCCCAAGGACCGGTCCCTCCTTACAACATGTCCAAAGTATGTTAGACGGAGCCTCAGAATCTTTGCCTCCAAGGAGCCACCCGGTTTAACCCTTTCCAGGACAAATCTGTTTGTTTTCCTAGCAGTCCATGGTATTCTCAATACTCTTCTCCAGACCCACAGCGCAAAGGCATCAATTCTCCTTCTATCCTCCTTGGTCATTGTCCAACTCTCTGATGCATAACAAGTGATCGCAAAGAGATAAAGAAAACAAAATATACCACAAAATGCCAGAAGAAAGACTAAATATGCCTTGGAAGAAGTACAACCAGGATTCTCCTTCAAAGTGAGGATGACACCTTACACCGTTTGGCAACGTTAGCAGGAGGGACCACTAATGTCAGGCTAAGTAGTTGTTAGGTGTCATGAAGTTGAGTGACAAGTCATAGACTCATAGTGACCCCATGAACAACAGCATCGCCATTTCTGACGTACTTGGGCCTGTTGCCACAGTCACTGTGTCACTACACCTGGTTGAAGGTCTTTCTCTTTTGCTGACCCTCCATCTTTTCAAGCATAATGTCCCTCTCCAAGGAAAAGACTCTCCTAGCAACATGCTCAAAGCATGCGAGACAAAGCTTTGTCATCTTCGCCTTGATGGAGGATTCTGGCTGTAATTTAAGATTTGACAATCTACAGGACAGTCAATCTTCTCCCAACACCACAATGTAGAGGGTAAAAAAAAGGGATCCTCAGTGAGATGGACTGACACAGAGACTGCAAAAGTGGCCGAAGCCCAGCACTGATTGAGAGGACAGTGCAAGATGGGGCAGTGCTTTATTCTGCTGGACATGGGATCACTATATGGAAATGCTTCAACACCAAATAATGTTGCTGTTTTTGTGTACCATAGAGTTGGAACCGACCCACAGCTACTATCTGGCAGGTTTTCAGCTGCAGTAATCGCAGGGGAGGAGAATGCCCATCCTTCCTGCCTGGAGCAGCTGGTGGCCTTGAACCACGTGCCTTTGGGGTTGCAGTGCAGCTTCTTTCCCTAGGCCACCAAAGTTCCCTACCACATCATCATCATCGCTGACATCATGATCAAATATACCAAGCCTAAAAGATTATACGATTATTATTAGTGAGATGTAAACGCACTCTCTCTCACTCTTAGTCTAAATTGCATCAGGCATTTCCAAGTGTGGAACGTATAGTCCTGATGATGTTTGGCATCCAGCATTACTGAATATTACTTCTAAGCTTGGTTCTGCAGTCTGTATCGTTCTAGTATTCCTACAATGTCTCCTAATTCTCACCTAGTGCATGCATGCTTGTTTACTCCACAAACATTAAATGAACATCTTCTGTATACCAAGGACTGTCTGGTATTTAATGAAAATGGAGAGTACAAACAGACAATCAATATACCGGCCATGCTGGAGTTATTGTTCTTTTTTTTTTTCTGAAGAAAATTTCAATTCATACAGATTTTTCAACTCATAAACAATAGGAAAGTGTTCAAAAGAAGCTCATCATTCTTATACCTGTACGATAGAGGTCTGTAGCGCCCCTGAAGAAGCGGGGCAAAGCTGCCTCCAACAACATGATAAAATCTTCAAGTTCTTCAGTAACTCCCACCAGAAAGTATTCGTTAACTAGGTTATATTTGGCTTGATCCATGGCCCACCTGCTTCCCACATTCCTAAAACCAAAGAAAAGAAATGAAAGATATGATTGTGAAATCTGCTAAGTATTATTTTAAATCTTCGCCCTCGGCGGCAGAGTGGGCTCCGGGTTGGGCTGCTAACCAAAAGATCGGCAGTTTGAGTCCATGAGCTGCTCCTGTCCCAGCCGTGGGAATGGATGGAGGATTGTCATTAGCTGCAGTCAATTCAGCAGTAGTGAGTGTCTTCTCTTTCTGGAGAAAATAGATAAGCATATGTCCACCCAAAGTCTTAACACCCTTGTGTTTATTGATTTAAGGAACACACTTGTTTAGGCTTTGGGGACTTTATCTTTTCTCTTTACTACTGTCTTCAGTTTCTGCCTAGCTCTACAGTGTTAAGACTTTACGAAAGGATTCTTAAACAAAGTTTCCTTTGAGGGCAATTTGATTTTTAAAAAACTATTCTAAACTAAACTTCGCTCATTTTAAAGCTCTACATTCAGGTCTAAGCAATTTGTGTTCAGAGCTTATCTTAATTTAATATGGGAGTTTTGTGGTTTTTTAAAATTTCTGAAAATAGGTAAGAAATCACCCTGATGAGTTGTTTTTTTTTTTTTAAACTGTGAGCTATTAATAGAGATTTGGTGCTAAATAAACTGTATTTGGGGGCTCTTTTTAGCACTAACATTAATTCCAGCTCTGCAATTAAGCAACAGTAAGATTTTAAACTTCCATTGTGAACAGTAAGATTTAACTTTCATTTTCTCATTTGGGGGAACAAAGGGAGGTTACCGATAGGGGTGAATTACTTGATTCCTATGTTTTCTCTCAGTTCTATGAATCTATGAAGCATACTAGCGCAGTTAAATTAAAATCTCAGTAATGCCTCAAAGCATTCCTTCTTTCTATTACAAGGCAGGGGCTGGCATGGTCTGGTCTTAATTATTCAGTTCTGTTGTAATTTCATTAAACCAATCAGAAACAAAAATAAGGAAGCAAGTCAATGTGACTGCCCAATAAAACTTTTATTTCCTATTAAAAAATTACTAAACAGAACAAATAAATATTCCTAATTATTTTTTAAAAACTAATCACACAGCATATTCTGAGGAAAATTTTTTATTAAAGATAAAATATTTTTATTTCCCCTTTCAAGATCCTTAACCAAGTGGACTGACACAGTGACTGTAGCAATGAGCTTGAAGGTGTTGGGAGATTGTAAGGAAAACATAAAATAGGACAGGGTTCAGATCTTGTTGTTCATAGGGTTGTTATGAGTCATAATCAACTTGACAGCACCTAACAACCACCACAACATATTAACAGACTAAACTAAAATTATAACTTCGGCTTATCTCAAAGTCAAATATAACTTAATAGTTGTTGTGTGTTGTCGAGTTGGAACTGACCCTTAGCTGACCTGCCAGCTGGTCTTCAGAGGCAGGAAATCACACAGGAGAAGACTGCCCATCTTCTTCCTGCAGAGCAGCTGGTGGATTCAAACAGCATGCCATTCGGATTGCAGCGTAGCTTCTTACCACTAGGCCACCAGAGGTAAATAATTTGCCTAGTAAGTAGTTTCTTAATCTCAGTTGCTAAAAAAGTACGCTCAGGAAAAAAAAATGAAGTTTACAATAGGCTCCCTGACGTACAACATAAAACTAAAGCAAAACTATTCCACATCTGATGAAATACTGCAAGGGTATTATATATGAGCAATCTTTTCTAAGGCATTTAAAGGTAAACCACAAAAAGTTCTTTACCGATTTCTTTGTATTACTGGAGCAGGCAATGTCTCATTCTGTTACACGTATGTTCACCATGAGTTAGAGCTGGCAAGATGGAAGCCAACAATAACCCCTGACTAAAAATATACACATTTGTTAAATACAGACTACAGAGATATCGAGGCATATTTTCAATTAGCTAACTTGATTTCCCTACCAGCATTCTGAGCTGTGGCCACAGAAGAATGGGATTTGAAGCCAGAGCTTCTCTGGAGCACAGTCGGAGCCTCCCTCAGCCACACATTCATCAAAGGTCTGCAAGAAAGACAAAGTGGCAGAGATGAGCCATTAACCCAAGTCTTGACTATGAAAATTCGTAATGTAGTAAAAGTTACTAAATATAAACGAGCTGAAGAGGGTAGAACAAGACAGTAAATAAAAAGGGACAGGCAGGTTAAGACAACTCATTTGCGATATTCAGGATTGTTAAATACAGATTTTTCTTACAATTTTGTTTGATGAGAAATTATTTTACTATATGAAGAGAAATAATCTAACAATTTATCCTTGATAGTAAATACTGGTTTTATTGATTTGTATGTTTATATTTTCTAGCACCTTATAAGAAGGAAATTGTATTAGAAATAAGGTTACATACAACTATTCTATGTGAAGTAAGGAATCATTTGAAATTAATATAAAGACCAAAATAATCTTCTCTTGTTAAAACAAATAAGCAAAAATCATCGTTTGCTATTATGTGCTGCTGTCAAGTCGCCTGCGACCCATAGCGACCCCTATGCACAGTAGTTCTGAACCCTGTCATCCTGAGCCAGTCTCACTAATTCCGATACACCAATTCCCATTGTCCCAGTTACTGTATCAATTCATCTCATCCAGGGTCTTCCTCTCCTGTGCTGTCCATTCACCCTTCCAAGCATGATGCCCTTCTCCAAGGACTGGTCTCTCCTGGCCACCTGCCCAAGTCTGGAAGATGAAGTGTCAAAATCCTAGCTTCCAAGGAGAAACTTGGTTTTACTCTAAGACAGACCTATTTGTTTTCTTGGTAGTCCATGGTATATTCAAGACTCTTCTCCAGCAAGACAATTCTAAGGCAAAATCCTAGCTTCCAAGGAGACACTTGGTTTTACTCTAAGACAGACCTATTTGTTTTCTTGGTAGTCCATGGTATATTCAAGACTCTTCTCCAGCAAGACAATTCTAAGGCATCGATTCTTCTTCTGTCATCCTTAGTCATTCCAGCTCTCTAATGTATAGCAAGTAACTGTGAAGACCATGGTCTGGATTAGGTGCACCTTAGTCTCTAGACTGACATCACTGCTTTTTAGTACTCTGGAGAGGTCCCTGACAACAGATAATACAATTACAAAACAGGGAAAAGACATGGAAAGACTTTTCATAGAGGAAGATATTCAGATGGTCAACAGACACAGGAAAAAATGCTCATAATCACTGGCAATAAGAGAGAAGCAAATCAAAACCACAATGAGGTACCATCTCACCCCAGAAGCAGTGGCAAAGTATAACAGGACAGCAAGTAATAAATGTTGGAGAGGATGTGGCAAGACAGGAACTCTTACACAGTGTTGTTGGGCTTATAAAATGGTACAGCCATTCTGGAAGGCTATTTGGTACTTCCTTAAAAAGCTGAACACAGAAATTCCATATGACCCAGCTATTTCACTACTTGGAATATACCCCAAGAAAATGAGAACTGAGGCACACACAGAGATTTGTACACCAGTGTTCATAGCAGTGTTATTCACTATCACAAGAATGTGGGAACAGCGCAAATGTTCAACCACAATCAAATGGATTGAGAAGTTGTGGTACATTCACACAATGGAATACTATGCAGCATGTAGGAGCAATGATTTTGAAAATCACTACAACACTTGGGAGGGACTGGAGAGCATTATACTAAGTGAATTAACTCAGTCCCATAAGGACAAATACTGTACAAGATTATAATTGTAGAAATAGAAAGATAACTGATACGTATAAGGATTCAAGGTGTGGAGGGTAGGAGCAGGGGGTGAGGATGGGCAGGGGGTAATGATAGGGTCACACAATTTGATGGGTAGAGAGAGGAGTGAATACAGGAAATGGGAAAGATCCAGTGTGAAAAACAATGTATACAAACTTTGTAAGTAAACTAGTATAAAATAAAAACTTTATTTAAATAAAAAAGACTATGTTGTTACTGATTAATTGAGTATAATTAATAGCAATCCTAAAAAAAACCAGACCTGAACCCTGTCCTATCCTGAACCATTCTCATCTTCTCTAACACGCTGAGCTCACTGCTGCAATCACTATGTCAATCCATCCTGATGGGTGCTTCCTCTCTGTCTTTCCTAGCATGATGTTCCTTTTTAAAGAATAGCCTCAGCCACTATGCAGAGAAAGATGGACAATCTTCTGTGCAATTTACTGCCTCTGAAAACCCAACAGAGGGTCACCTATGGGTCAGTTCCAACTCTATGGTCCAAAACAACAAGCAGCAACATGTCCACAGTATGAAGGATGGAGCTTCACCAACTTTGCCCCCAAGCTGCACTCTGGCTGCACTTTCCCCAAGACCTACCTAATAAATTAATTTTTTAAAATTAAAGATGATTAGATATGTCTTAAAAAGACTATATTGTTGTTTTTCTTAGATGCTGTCGAGTATGACTCATAGCAACCCGAATGAAGAGCAGATCTGAACCCTGTCGTCCTGTGCCATCCTCACAATCTCTGACACACTCCAGCCCGCTGCTACAGTCATTGTCAGTCCACCTGGTTGAGAGTTTTCCTCTCCTTCACTGTTCCTCCACCTTTCCCAGCATGATGTCCTCCTCCAAGGAACAGAATGCCCAAAGTATGTGAGACAAAGCTTTATAATCTTTGACTCAAAAGAGAATTCTGGCTGCACTTTCTCTAAGACATATCTGTTTGTTCTTCTCCAACACCACAGTTCAAAGGCATCAGTTCTTCTGTTATTCCATGTCCAGTTCTCAGATGCATAGCAAGTGACTGAAAAGACACTACCTGAATCAGACACATTTTGGACCTCAATTCCTCAGATGTGGCTTTCAGTGGAGATATACTGGAATGAGACTCTTAATTCTGGGAACATTAGTATGCAACAGCAACCTACAACCCATAATTTAATGGCCTGTTTTTCTTATAGGTGACCATCACCATCGTTTAGTAGAAATATTCATTACTTTGGTTTTCATCCTCACCATGAAAAAGATAAATTTTGGTAAGTGTCTTTAAGTAAAAAAATGAGGTAAAAAGTAAAAACACTATTTTAAAATCACCTTTAATTTAAAAATAATTTCTAATTTAATCATTTTTTAAGTTAAAAATTCCCCTTACTTTGAGAGACACATCACATGCAGAGGTTTTAGGAACACAGGTGTTGTGTACTGTTGAGCTGGAACTGACTCACAGTTGACTCTCTGGTGGGAGTTTAGAACTGTAAACTGCACACGAGGAGACCATTTATTTTTTCTTCTTAGGAGCAGCTGGTGGATTCAAACTGCCCCATTTATGTTGGCAGTTCAAGAGCTTTCTCTATCACATAGCAGACAATCAATGAACTCATGTCTTTTACAGCAATCAAATACAATATCTTATTTTTGTTCTCCTTGACACCCATGACATACGGCACACTAACCACCTTTCTCCTTTACAAAAATCAGCTGTCTTTCAGTAATCTATTATTTTCCCTTTCTTTGAACAGTTTCCTTTTTGTTAATTCTCTGTGTCTTTCTAAATGCATCATCATTATCTGATTTGAAGGCACATCCATTTTGGTCCTTCTACTACGTATGAGTAGTATCACATGCAAGTAAAATTCTGCTGAAGATCATAAAAAAAAAAAACCAAAAAACCCAAAACACGACAGGAACAGCATTTCAACAGGGAACTACGAGAAACACAAGCCAGGTTTAGAAGAGGCCATAACACTAGGACATCATTGTCAGTGTCAGCTGGATCTTGCCTGAAAGAAGAGAGTACCAGAAGAATGTTTATCTGTGTTATCACTGACTGTGAAAAAGTATTTGAATGTGTAGATCACAAAAATTATGGCTAACCTTGAGTAGAATGAGAATCCCAGAGTACCTAATTAGGCTCATGTGAAACCTATATTTGAACCATGGGGCAGTCATTAGAATAGGGCAAAGAAACACTTCATGGTTCAAAATTAGGAAAGGACTGAGAGGATGTGTCCTGTCTCCATACCTTTCCAATCTGTATGCAGAACTGTTCATTCATGAGACTAGACTTTATGAGTAGGAGTGTGGCATCAGGACTGGAGGAAGAAACAACCTGCATTATGCAGGTGACATACCCTTGTTTGCCAAAACTGAGGAGGATCTGAAGAATTTGCTGCAGAGGGTCAAGGACTGTAGTCTGCAAAATGGATTTGAGCTCAACAAAACAAAACAAACCCCAAAGATTCTAACCACTGGGCAACTGGCACACCATGATAGATGAAGAAGAGATTGAGACTGCTAACAATTTCAGATTGTTTAGGTCCACATCAACACCCGTGGCAAGAGCAGTTAAGAAATAAAAAGATGAATTGCCTTAGAAAAATCTGCTGTCAGGGACCTCTCAAGAGTGCTGAGAGCAAGGATGTCTATAGGTGTGTCAGACACAGTGAGTCTGGCTCACGATAGAGCAATGATTCAGAGCTACTGTGCATAGGGTTGCTATGAGTCATAGTTGACTCAAGGGCACATAACAACCACCACCACCAAGTATGGACACTGCTAACTTTGCATGTCATCTTCCTTAACTGACTTATTCACAATTTCTTGGTTTCATTTATATTAGGCAAAGGACTTTGAAATCGGTACCCTTAGATCTATTACTTTTTACTAGATCGATAATCTAGTTATTTACCTGAATTTCATTTGCATTTTAAGGATTACCTTATACTCAGCATTTCTGGCAATAGGATCATCTTCCCTTTATAGCTGGACTCAGTATCAGAACATTTCTTAATTATACCCTTGAGGTAATAGCTTTCCTCAGTAATGTTCTCCCCATGCACCCTTTCTTTTTCAATCTTATTTCCATCAGTATCTAAGTCGTTCCTAGAGTTTTACAACAGGTTTCTAATTGGGATCCTTCTTGTTTTTTCCCCAGTCTGCTCAGTACAGTTATCCTCATTGCTAGAAAGTCTAAACTGACTCATGGCTGACTTTCCAAGATTTAAATCATATGGGAGGAGATGATGGATTTGAATCACCTGTCTTTGAGTTGGCAGCACAACTCTCTATCAAGTAGGCTAC